ATCAGTGACAAAACGCTGCCTTGACAGGGTAGATGTAGAAAGAATGTTTCCACTTGAGGGAGAATACAGAGCTAGGGACCACTGTTTTAGAAATAAGAGGTCATCAATTTAAGAGAGAGAAAATGCAATTTTTTTTTGCTCTCTGAGGGTCATAAATCTTTGGAATATTCCCTTCAAAGGCAGTAACAGCAGAGTCCTTGAATATTTATAATCAGAGATAATTGTTGGAAAAAGGGGTTGAAAGATTATTGGAAATAGGTGGGAATGCAGAGTAATCAGCTCAACTCTGATCTTACTGAATGACAGAGGAGTCTCAAGGCATTGAGTGGCCTTACTTTGCTCCTAATTCATGTGTTCACATGTATCAGCTATGAACTAATCGGATAAATGAATAGATTTCAAGGATGAATAGCCTGCTTCTATTCTCAGATGAATCCCAGTCCTCGGTGACTGTTCAATAACTCCAGATTCCATTAGTGAGCTGTTGTTCAACTGTTGCAGCACATGTTGACGATGCTCCAACGATCCTGTTACATTTTGAATACCAGATATTTAACACAGTGATTCTGAAGGATTGGTAATATATATCCAAATACTAGGACAATCCTCTTAACCAACAGATAAATGAATGATTTCTCAGTTACCAGTAGGTTCGCTATAGAATTGTAGTTTGTATAATCATCTAGACATACTTAAAGCTAAATCTTAAAAAAGACATTTAGACTTACTGGTTGAATGCCATAAGAACATTAGGAACATGACTAGGCATATTCCACTTGACCCCTTAAGCCCACTCCGCCTGTCAATATGGTCATCAATAAAGTCTGATCTGGTCTTAACTCCATTTTCTTGCCTATCTTCAATAATCCTTGACTCCTTTGTAGATCAAAAGCTTGTCTAACTAAGCCTTGAATATTTTCAATGAACTAGCCTTCACTGCTAGCTGAGAGAGAGAATTTGAAACACTATGAGAGGAGAAATTCCTCTTCATCTGTCAATTAAGTGGAGGACCTTTTTTAGTTTGGAATTGTTCCCTTTGATTCTGTAATTCTTCCAGCCCTTGAAGTTAGAAACAGTTCCATCAGGTATCCATTGACAAACCCAATTGTCCCATGAAAATCACTTACCTGGCTGTAAAATGCTTTGGGATACCCTGTGGATGTGATAGGTACTGTAGAGATACAAGGCTTTATTTTTTTCCCCTTTCTTGAGTGTTGGGAAATTGGGGAATCTCCCTTCTAGCTTTCAAGAGACTGCTTTGCATGGTGGCAACTCCCAGTTAAAACAAGACAGTCAGGATTCCAGACAGAATGGAGCTAATGTTCTGAAACCAGTAGCTACAGCAGAAATGTTCTGCATCTGGAAATCTGGCATGCTGGTTTGGAAGATTTTACGATTCCATGAGGGCCTTTACGGAAGCAATGTGACAGACATCTTAACTGTTAGTAGTAAAATCTAAGAAAAAGTATGCAAAATCTTTAGGTGTTACTAATTTTGTACAGTAATACATGTGCAAAGTATCATTGATGGGATTGTCGAATAGAGTGAATATATTCTTGGTCATTTCATCATATAACCTCCCACCTCCTACCACCTAACCAAAACCAATGCCCAACTCCAATAAGTTTGTAATTGATAAACAAGTGTTTAAAGAATTTTTAATGCGCCTCTGATTCTACACTAGGTGTGCTCAGGGCAGTTATCCGGATCAAACCATAATTCCTGGTGATTCCAAGATAACCTGGACTGGAATCCCTAACTACTGATACAAATGGCAGCTTTTACATTTCTGTTTGAACATAAACTTCACAATCCAGGACCAAATATTGATGCTGCCTTAGATTGGCACTTATTTCTATTTAAATATACTATTATTCAGTCATAAGAATTCTCAACAACATTCTGGACAGCAAAAAAAAACTACCTCATCAGCCCAACCTAAACCTCCAACTAAAATAAATCTGAGAGTTAATTGTCAATTTTGGGAACTTAAAAGTTGTCATTGCCACCTGCGGCTGATTGAGAATTAGTGTGCGTAAAAATGCTCTTCTTTTCACAAATATAGTCAATTTGATTCAACTTAACTTTATAAGTCCTCATTATATATTCTGTTTACAATGTATGGAAGGAATAGAATATTGTTCCACCTCATGCAGAAGACTTCTTTTAAAAACTGAATCTTGGCAATGGGCAACTCCAGCAAGATTAGCATTTATTGCCCATTCCAAGCAGTCCTTGAGAAGGTAATGGTCTTATTGTTGCATTGGTGCAGCACATGTTGATGATGCTCCAACAATGTTGTGACATACTAAGAGTTAGGTATTTAACACAGTGATTGAGAAGGATTAGCAATATACCTCCAAATACTAGGGTGATCCTCTTAACCGACCAATAAAGAAATGATATCTCAGTTACCAGTAGGTTGTCTATAAAATTGTGGTTCATATAATCATCTAGATATGCTTAAAGCTAGATCTTAAAAAAGACAGAGTGCCTGCATTAAAGATATGCCAAAATGATTTCTCAATGTTTGGCACAATTAAGATATAATCAGAATGTGCACGATATAATTAAACTAGTACTTTTGGTTTTGCTCATGCTACTATCATACCTGTTAAAACACGTTCTGCAACAGCAGATGATGAAGATGGAATAGTATTTTGTCTGTAGTTAAGTCAACATTTTAAAGAGCTAGTGTCCTGCAGCATACCATAATTTACTAATGCAAGATATTTTCTTCTGTAAATGATAAAAAGGGATAGGCTGTGTTCATTCTATTCCTAAATGGCAAATAAAACAATGGGTGAGATGTTAAGCAATATTAAAATAAATTCTCCTGAGAAATATAATTTCATTTTCAATTTATTTGTCAGTCAAAAGTTATTGAAGTATAAATAAGTGGCATTAAATCTCAATACTTTTATGATCAGGGTTGTTATATAAACGCTTGAGTACCAATTTGATTGTATTTTGTTTCACATCATTGTCCATCCATGAATTAGATGGAATAAATGCAATAAAGTAGATTGACTTCAATGTTATGAGATCTGTTGAGAGTAAACAATGAAATAATTAGATGCTAGAAGATGATTTAACTGGTTGGGATACCTTTTGCTTTCTTCTGGTCATTGCTACAACCACAATATTCATGATTTTTACATTCTATCATTTTTGTAGTTTATTATTGAGGATTTTTTTTTGAAAAAGTGTTTCATTTGATAGAAGAATGCACCAGTTAACAATGATTGATAATAAACTACCAGGTTTTGTTTAAAGCTTGATGCTGAAATTGGGTACATCAAAGCCTCCCAGTGGGATAATTGCTACCCTGATTAGATTATTTCTTATTGTACATTACATAAATTCATATACAGACCTAAGCCCATCATATTTTGTTGTTAAAATATACCCAATTACCACAGATCACCAAGGTTGGAGCAACAACATGCAACTGTACAGTAGTAACACAAGTGATGTTCACCACTAATAGGATGCCAAATTAAAAACGTTCTGCCTATCACACAGATGAATAATGCGGTTCATGAGTTTGTGCCAGTGTTTGATGCCACACATCCCAAAGACTGGCAAGTTGTATCAAGCAGCAAATTCTCCCACTGTTCACAACAAGCAAGGCTCTGACTATACCCAACCATGCTTACAAAACTCTTAAGAGTGTTCAATATTAATGTGATTTTGCAATTAGACAACATTCGCTGATAATCCTGAGTGTGCAAAGCATAATGCTGACAACCAATTTAAGATTGGTTGGGATCAGTGTGGTGCACTTGTATGTAATTGCATGCACTGAAAGCTATATATTTTAAAATATAGGACCATGTTTTTGCACACAGAAAAACATATGCACACACATCGCACCTGTTCCAACACCACAAAATATGTCACATCTCTTCACTAGTTCATTTCTCAGAGAATTACCTCAACAAATCAACGTCAACCTGCCTGGTTTAAAAATTAAACAAAGCCTGGCAGTTAACTCTCCATCATCATTAACTGGTGCATTTTATGGCAATACTGACCAATCAGCACTCTCATAAGGTATAAATGTTGGGTCTTTGCCTTAAATTGGTGTTGTTGTAATTGATCTGTTAGGTGTAAGGTGAAAAGTTTGGATAAAATGTGTTTTTGTTTAGAAATACTCAGGTTCTATACATTGTGATTAATGGCAGTTTGTCAATTTCCCAAAACCATGTACCAGCATCACCTTGGACTTTGGCCACCACAGCCATTGCCAGTGGCCTGGAAATTTTGAGGAATTTTTAACTTTAAGTCCATTTCCACAGTTTTCCATGTTATCTACAGATGTGAGCTCAAAACATGCTGATGGTTAACATTCTAACTCTCCAATCCTGATTCAGTAGATAAAATAGATATCCATACTCTCATACTGCTTCGGAGCTGTTTGTCCCTTCACTGAAGTACAAGATAGCTCAAGAATCAAAATAAATTAAGAAAAGTGAAAGTTGTGCGATCACCCTTCCTATTGGAAGACAAAGAAAAGTGAAATGGGAGAGGAGGGAAGGACAGAGGAAGAAATTACTTTAGAAAATATTGCATACTGGCAGGGTTCAATTTAATAATTTACAGCTAACATATGAGAATGTGAAGAACCTTGGTTCAGTTTATTATCTTAATTTGAAAACAATATTTGCTTTCAGATTTACAATTGAAATCACATTAGTAATGACAGATGCATTTGCTTCATGGTGTGCAGAACAATATTAACACGCTTTCCACTGTATACAACTTCTCTGCTTCATTGATTAATATGACTTCATTCCAGTAGAATACATCAATTGCCACTTTGAGTCAGCATTAATTTTTCTTTTGTTTTGAATAATAGATAAGCCTAACAAAGTATCAACACATCTTTCACAAAGAGTAATAAAGAAATCAGAAGGAATTTATTAGCTTTAACAACTCGTGACTGAAATGTATATTTTCCCGAATGCTGAAAAAAGTTGTTCTTTTTCACCCACCAGCTCTTCTCAAGATGAAGCCTAGGGCAACAAATCCACAGGCTGTGGTGGCACCCATTGCCACAACTACCATGATGCCAGTTGACACTGGAGATAACTCAACAGAGGCTGGAGGCCTTGGAGAAGGGAAAAATAATGTCTTTCAGAAGCTGAAAGAGAAATTTATGAATGAACTGCATAAAATTCCATGTAAGTATGTACTCAGTCAAATCATAAAATGGTGTTTTTTTTTCTGTCACGCAGTTACTGTTTTTACTTGAGTCCATTTGTTCTGAGTTTTATTTCAAGCTCTTCCTGGATAAAAGGCTGCATTTGATAAAATATGTAGCCATATCCACTGGCAATTCAAAGGCTTTCGAGAATAAAGGTCATTTGAGAAGGAGGAGGAGAAAGGGGCAGTTGTTCATTTTAGCCAAAAAGAAGAAAACTTGTATTGAAAAATTAGGTTTCAATTTGTTAGAAGTATTATTATAATAATGTTAAGTGCCTAAATCAGTATCAGAATGTAGAACGTCCATGTATTTTAGCAGATTTCATTGATTCTGTAAGGTCAATAGTATTCCGTTTAGATTTGAATAACAAATCATTCTGGTCCTATCCACACAGATGGGTGCTGAAGGATCCAGTACAGTGTATTCATTTCACACCAGTCATGATATATGATCTGGTTGCCATCCAGCATGCATTCAGTGTGCCCCCAATTTCCATAGGCATCAGCTTGTCAAAAATTGCTTGGTGCCTGACACCAAAACAGCAGGATGCACAGCAGCCAAACTAATGTTTTCCAAGGGACCACCAAAGGCTGCCTTCAAAAAGGACATTCAAAGATGTTTATTTACTAACCTGATGGAAAGGCAGTTAAAGCAGGAATTGTCTCTGAATTCTACATAAAATTTGGAAACAGCCAATCACCTGGTCTCTCTCTTTCTCTTTCAACATTTGCAACTCAAATTCAACTCTTCCCTCCTCCCCGACACAGCCAGCTCCTAGTTATGCTAGTTACTGTCAGCTGATTTCCATCTTCTTCATGACAAGTGTAACTGGTCTCTGTAGCACGCTAGTCACTTCTTGATGATGTGAGAGGGTCAGTTTTGAGTAGTCTTCAAGTCCATAGCTTTTGGGATGGCACTGGACTAATAAATAGAGTGCAGACCACTTCCTAGGCTGGAAATGTGAACGTTATGGCTTAGGTCATAAAGATGTTTGCCTTAACTATACCACCAGGAAGCTATACATTCTAATATGAGATTGATGCCAGTTCACTAATTTTTCAAATCCATTTGCCAGTGCCTCCTTGGGCTTTGATTGCCATAGTTATTGTCAGTGGCCTGCTTCTTCTCACCTGCTGCCTCTGCATCTGCAAGAAATGCTGCTGTAAAAAGAAGAAAAACAAGAAGGAGAAAGGCAAGGGGAAAAAGAATGACATCAACATGAAAGATGTGAAAAACTCTGGTGGAAATCAGGTAACGTACTGAAGGGAAAGTGTAAGTGAATGTTTAATCGCGTCTGAGTTTATCGAACAATGGTGTATGCAAATTAAAATCATTCTGTAGCAGTTGCATAGTACAACTAATTTAGGTGCAGAAATATTATTTGTCATAATTGTTTACATTTCCTTTTTAAGATCACCTTTGTTCAGCCAGCAAATTTCTGTCCAATTCCATGCCATTAATGGCTAATTCTGTCAGGTCCTAATTTAGTGCGTGATCGATGGAGTTGACCACTCACAACTTGAAATGATGAAAACTGTGCAGCATAAAAAGCAGCTTTGACACCTGATTGGTTCTCATTCTCAACTGTTCAGAGCAGTGCAGAATTGGCCCTAATGAAGCTGAGCAGCAACAGTGGATTTTAAACGCACTAGAAAAACATCACCTAAAGACAAAAAATTCTAAATTGCCAAAATCGACTACTGTTAAAATCCTGAACAATTAGAAGAAAATGGGAAATGATTGCTTCCATTATGAACAAAGATAGCCTAAAATCTCTGAGGAGCCAGATTATTATGTGTTTCTTCTAAATTCGCATCATATCAAATTAGTTTGTAACATCCTTGCTGCCTTGTGTTTCAAGGAGAAAACCTATTACTTTGATCTTCATCTATTGAAGTAGGACATTGATTTTGTGTCATACAGGAATAGTCAAAATGCACAGCAGGAACAATAGCAAAATCCAAATAGCCGTGTTAAATGAATGTGTTGCAAATCCTGCACAATTAATCATGGATGTGACTCACAAACACTTTGGCCCATCTGTTCTTTGATTGATAAAGATTGCTTTGTTTCAATGAAACTTGTAATATGATTTTCACAAAAAACATATGGCTGTAACTTCTACAATTTTTCTTTCTTTTAAGTATTTAATTACTTCAAGAAAACACCATAGTGATAGGTCCAAACTATGAAACACATTGTTATATGGTAACATTATCAGCATATGTACATACAGAACAACAACTAAAGAGATGTGGCGTATCTGTCCCTTGAACCCATCACTTGTAAGCTCTTTGAAGTTGGAACACACAGCTGTTTTTGAGCTGTTAATTCCCTTATCGGCAGTGTTTAATAACTGACACATTCTACTTTTGCAAAATCAATACTTATTCTTTGGTAGTGTGATTACTAAATATCCTAGCTTTAGCTTGTTAGTTGTTGCCTTAATTAAAGAGCGGGAAAAAAATCATGTTTGACAATTTGATTGGTACTGAATGCTATTTATAAGTAGACAATAATATGCCAACTTATGTCATGGTTGACAGACATGTTTCTGTTTATTCAGACAGTTCAGTGCAAAACTGAATCTGGTATGACATTAAAACACTCCAAGTAACTGCTGGTTACTTTTAAATGTGCTCACTGCATACTAATTTAAATTGAACCTTTGATGCAATTCAAAAATAAATAGCGACAGATATCAAAATCATATTCAAAAGCTTCTACTTTGTTGCTTTATATTGGTAGAAACATATCTCTGGTGGTAGTATGATGCAGACAGTATTGCTGTCAAGTGTACACTGCACTCCTTGAGCCTCATTCACTTTGATACAATTGATATTAACTAATGTGTATAGCACGAAGTCGATTCAGCCTAATAAAAATGGAAAGAACTGTGGATGCTGTAAATCAGAAACAAAAACAGAAGTTGCTGGAAAAGCTCAGCAGGTCTGGCAGCATCTGTGAAGAAAAAATCAGAGTTAACATTTCGGGTCCAGTTCTGAGGAAGGGTCACCAGACCCAAAACGTTAACTTACCACAAAATTAATTAAGAAAATAGTTTTCTGAATCACTTCCCTCCTTCCCATGCCAACTTTTGAGGCATGGGATATGTTATTGTTATTCAATAGGTATGGCAGGGCAGTATGTCATTCAGGTCAATTGACTTGCTACCAGACCTGCTGAGCTTTTCCAGCAACTTCTGTTTTTGTAGAGAATTCAGCCTGTTGCATGCTGTTATCCAAGACAAATTCTACCCGCTATACCCAAAACATTAAAGGAGTTGTATCTCTTCTCACAAGTGAAGAGGTTCTATTAACACAGTGCACTGTTTGAGCTATGTGGTAAGATCATTGTTTTTCTCTATTTTGTTCAAACCTTTAGCAAATTATTTTTATGTTCCTTTTATAATTGATTGTTATGTATATGTGTTTTGACTTCTTGAGATATGACGGACCCAGATTTACATCAAAGTAGTTTAAAATGCACATTTGTAATCTTTAGTATAAGACATCCCCGCTTAAGACATTATTTTGCAGTGAAGAAGACATTTTTAGAAAATAAATTCTTTCTTAGAGTTCTTTTACTTAGGCTACAATTCAAATACACCAAAATTTACTTGCCCTGTCTATCTTTCAGCTAGTCATCATAAATAATCATAGCTGTTTTGGGTCAGAACAAGGTTTTGGGATTTGTTTTGAACATTGTCTGTCCTTTAAATGTGCAGCACAGCTGTGATTGATAAAAATCCTTACCCAGCAGAAACCATGGCAGTAAAATTTGGCAAGTTTTATACTTTAGAGTTTGAAGAACTTCTTTTCAAGTCAGACTTATCCTAAGAACAAACTTGTTAACTGCAAATTCATTGATATTTTAACTGGATCCCTGTTGACCCAAATAGTTTAGCAGTATTTGCAGCATCAGAACTGAGTAATGGACTGTAAGTCTACCTTGGCACGAGGAAAACATGGCCAGCGGACTTGAGTGAGTCCTATGCTTTGGACGGGAAGCAATTGGAAAGCCTGAGAATGAGAGGAAGGTGGGTGGACAATTGGTTTTGAAGCTCAGGTGGAGAGGAACAGAGGAGGGGGTGCTTCAGATGCACACAGGGCATCCACAAAAGAAGCACACTGTTCTTTCCCACCTTTACCACAAAATTAATTAAGAAAATTGTTTTCTGAATCACTTCCCTCCTTCCCGTGCCAACTTTTGAGGCATGGGATATGTTATTGTTATTCAATAGGTATGGTAGGGCAGTATATTATTCAGGTCAACTGACTTGCTAACATGCTCAATTTCCTATTTTGTATTTAGACAATTTTTTAAAAAAAAATTGGCTGTTGAGGGGGTTTGCGGGGTGTTGCTGCATAACCAGGCTATCTATGATCAAAGAGCCAAAAGATTTTGTGTGTGGCTGTCAGTGAGGTGAAAGATAAGTGCTATTCCTTGGCTGATGACCATGAAATCCGGGCTAGTAAAAAAAAAATTTCCTCACCATGAGCTGCTTACACCAGTAAAGGCACTCACAAATCCCAGTTTTAGCTGTAACTAACATGTCTGTAGTCAGACAAGTGTATTGCAGGAGATTCTTATTAATACAGAAGCAAGCCTTTTTAACAACCTAAGACACCCATCAGATTTCATAATTGGCTCACTGACAGCTTAACAGAAACCTTTTCTGTGTACTTTACATCAAATGTACTGTAGAAAAAAGTGCCCCTTTAATTCGATTAACGCCCCCAGTGAACTTAATATAAATGTTTTCTTAAGGTTATTTTGCAACCAGACTAAATCTTGCAAAACAAAATTCACATGGAGTTTGAAGTTGTAACCTTGATTTGGACATCAGACTGGAGAAAAAGTTGTAGCGGAGTTCACCAGGGATTGATGCTGAGACATCTGGTCTTTCAGATATATATTAATTAGACTTTGGTGTATAAGGCACAATTTAAAAATTTGCAAACGGGAAACTTGAAAGTCCAGTGAATTTTGAGGAGGAAAATGTTAAATTTCAAAAAGAAATTGACAGGTTGATGAATTGGATAGACAATTGGCAGATAAAATTTAATTCAGAGAAGCGCACTGATTATTTTTGTAGGAATAACACGACAGTTGATGTCAAATAAAGGGTATAGTTAATATGAAAGTACAGATTATGAGCAGAAACAGAAGAAAGAAGAGGTAGAAGTAATAATCTGCCTTATTATAATTCCTGCCAGCAATGTGAATAGCTTCACATTTTCCCATAATAAACTCCAGCTGCCAGATTTTTTCCTACTCAGCAATCTATCTATATCTGTTTGTACTCTCTTAATGCATTCTTCACACATTCCTATCTATCTTTGTGTCATCAGCAAATTGAGGTACCATGCCTTCACTATACATATCTAAGGCATTAACATAAATTACCTAAAAAAACACAGCCCCAGCACAGACCCTTGCAGGAGTCCACTCATCACATGCTACCAACATGGTAAGGACCCATTTATGCATACACTGTTTCCTGTCAGCCAGCCAAACCATTAGCTCTTACTTTATGCAATAACTTTTTATGTGGCACCTTGTCAAATACGGCCTGGAAATCCAACAATGATGCATCAGCAAATTCGTCGTTATCTACTGTATATGATACTTCCTCAAAAAAACCTCCAATAACTTGGTCAAACATGACTACCTTCTCACAAAACCATGCTGACTCTTCCCACTTACTTTGGGTTTTTTCTAACTGCCCAGCCATAACCTCCTAATATCTTCTCCACAACAGAATCTAATGACTTTTGGAAAATTAACACCAACACATTGGCTACCTCATCATCCCCCTCTTTGAAGATCCTAGCGTGAAGTCCATCAGGATCCGTGCAGTTATCAACACAAAACTCCATCAGATTGCTGAGTATCACTTCCTGAGTGTTTATAATGTCACCAAGCTCTTCCCTCCTTCAACCTTCTGATTTATAGGTACTACAGAGATGATTTTATATCCACTATTTTGAGGACGAAAGCAAAATATTTATTCATTACATCCTCCATTTCTTTAGTATCTACTGCAAACTCCCCATTCGCACCCCCTAGAGGACCAACATTTACTATAATTAGTTTTTTTTTCCTTTTTAAATAGCTATAGAATTCTCGCTATCGATTTGTACATTTAACAGATTAGCTAGTTTCTTCTCATACTCCTATTTTTCCTGATTAATCTTTAACTTATTTTCTGCTATTCTTTATATTCTGAACTATTTTTCATCTTTATA